TGTGTGTGTGTGGCTCAGCCCACCAGGGGGCAGGGCTGGCTGGCATGTAGTGCTGGGGGATTGAACCGTGGTCTCTGTGCTTTGCTAAGCTTGTTCTAAGTAGGTGCTTTAGACCACTGAGCCATCTCACCAGCCCCCCAAGCAGTCTTTATGCATTTTTATTTCATCTTAGTTTTCTCTTTTCACCATGTCTCTTTATTAATTTTCTCTTAAAAGTCTTTGTTAGGTTATCAGTCTGTTCAGGTTTCATATCTTCTGTGCAATTTTTTAAGCACTCATTTAACTAACATTAGGCAACCTGGCATGGTGGTGCATTCCTGTGGGGATTGAGGGGAGAAGGAGAATTGCAAGGCTGAACCCAGTCTAGGCAACTTAGTGTCTCAAAATTTTTTAAAAATTTAAAAGAACTGAGTATGTAGCTCAGTGTAAAGGCCTTAGGTTCAATTCCTAGTACTACCAAAGAGAGGGTGGGGGAACCCCTGCTATCTAAAGGCATTAGAGCTAGGCATGGTGGTCCACACTTATAATCCCAGCACTCAGAAGGCTGAGGCAGGAGGATCACTGTGAGTTCAAGGCCAACCTGGGCTACAAAGTGAATTCAAGGCTAGGTGGAATTATAAAGGAACACACTCTCTCAAAACAAACAAACAGTTTTAAAAAGCATTAGGAATTTTCAACTTAAGAAACAGTTCTTTTTTTTCCAGAGGTTCCCCATTCAGTGGGTAAGACATATACACACTGGCAATTATAGTCATAAAATGATTATTAGATAATTACAGAGTAAGTTATTATAAGACAATTATAAAATAAAATAAAAGTTTTTACAGAGGAAGAACAGACTGTTCCTGATTTTTTGAGAATAGAGAGGTAGGTGAATAGGGGAGAATAAACCTCTCTGGGCAGAATAATCAACATGTGCAAAATAAACCATTGCTGTTACTGAAGCATGTTAGAGTGAATAAGACTGAACGGATGGGCAGGAGCTAAACTGCATTCAGCACAAGCCATTTCAAAAGGCTTCAGACAAATGGATCCTTGGTATTAATTTTGATGTGGTTAAAAAAACTGGTCCATGGGGTTGTGTGAGTAAGGAGATCAAAAAACCATGCAGCTTGGTTCTCATGGACAGAAGAGTGAACTGGAAGGCCCAACAGTCCGACTTGTAGTGGATGAGATGCCGGGTAATGGTCAGAAGATGGTCGGAGGACCAGCAGTTTAGTCTAGAGCAAGGAGGCAAAGAAGGCTGTGCTGTCGGTAAGACACAGAGAAACCTGATCTTGTTTCCATAGACATAAGTACCTCCTCTAACATTTTGTTATGAAATTTTGGGAAGAGTATAGGAAAGTTTAGAGAATTGTACAGTGAACCTGATACATCTATCAATATTTCACAGCATAACTTTTGCAGCTTATTTTTATATTCTGTCTGTACTGTCAGCCATCTATCAGCCTATCTTATTTTTCCTCCATTTTAAAAATAAGTTACAAGGCAACCCACTTGGGACCCCTTCCTCTTAGGCAAAGCCTTTCTTTCCCCCAATAGATATTTTCTGCTCTTCAAAATAAAACTTGTATCCATGATACAGTTCGCCCCAGAACTTCAATGTATTATGTTCAATGTTAATTTATGATTCTTTTGTCAATGTAAAATTTATACACTGTGAGATGCAAATATTTTGACAGTATCATTTGCCGAATTTTAAGAAATGTCTACACCTCTGTAATCAAACTCTCATCAACTATAGAGCATTTCTATAATCCATGAAGTTTCTTCAAACTTTTTCCCAGTTTTTCTTGTCCTCATTCCCCAGGCACAACCACCATAAGGTTTTGCTTTCTGACCTCTCTTCTTTCTCTGGCCTTTCACTCTGTATCCTGAATTCCTGCTCATATTTGTATTTCTAAATATAGAATTTGAAGTTATTTAAAAAACATCAAATTATATTTTTCCACTTGAGTCTCTTCTGATTCTACTAGACATCTCTTGTTTGGAGAAAACAGTTCCTATTGTAATTCTCTTATGTCTTAGATTATAGTATTTGTATTCATCTTATTTTTTCTCTTCCTTGTTTATAAAATCTTTGTATATCTTGAATCTTTTAGAGCTGTGAAAAATTGTAATTCATCTGATTTAAGAATGCAGCAAAATAAGCGAAAAAAAGTTAACCTACCATAATTAGCAAGTATGCATAAACTATTTTCCCTAACTCCCTTTTAGTAAGAAATCTGAGAACTTTGGACTAGAAATGGAAAAGCTGACTTCACTTGCACAGATGGCACACCTGTAACACATGAAAAAAATAGTTTTCAAGAGTATATTCGGTTCTGCGAAGTGTTTCTACCTTCCATTGCATCACTCAACAGAGAATCTGTGCTGCAAATATTGCAATCAGGGTGCTGCAATGATGTAATGGAGGAATTGATTGTAACTCAATTTTCTTCTTGATTGTACCTTTAATCATTACCAGTTCGTTAGTTATTTGGAAGATATTTAGCCTGAATATGGAGACTTACTTATTTTTTTAAAATATGAATAATTGGATTGGGGAAACTTATTGAGGATTGAGGATAATTGAGCTACTTCAGATCAAGGCCTTTAATTTTGTTGTAGTTATTCAAAGGTTTGGAGAGTAAAGGGTTTATGATACTGTCATTCATTCACAAGGCTGTCTGCGTACTGAAGTGTTACTACTTGAACTGACTGAACTAGTCCCTGCAGTGGGAAATAGACTATTTTATTTCCTAAGTGCAGGCCTTCCCACTGAAGTGACAGAAGAGCATCGAGCAGGGGTATTTGCAGTTTACACCTAGTTTCCACAGTGGAATTGTCCCATATGAGCAGAATTGCAAATGTTTAATATTGTTAAGGTACAATTTTAGAAAAGAAATACAGATTTTAATGTATTTGAATATTACTTTAAGTTTCTATGGTTGTCTGTAAGTGCAAACTCAAAGGTGTGACTGAATGCTAGGATATAGATTTACCCAGCAGCTAGGGGAGGACTACTGAGAATTCACAGTTCTGTGGTGAGGAGATGAACTCAGAAATCAAAAGTAAGTACATTTTATGGCAGTTTGACAGAATATGCTTATAACTCTTAAATTTAGTAAGTTTTGCAATGTACTTTCTTTTGCTTCCTAGTAATTGATTCTTACTATATTTTAAAGAAGTTTACATTTGTCTGAAACGGATTAAGGAAAAACAAAAACCAAAATAATTGCTTTATTATATATAGTTTGTTGAATTAGAGTTTCTTAGAAGTGTGAGTCTGAGGATGGTCTAGAAATTTCTGGCTGTGTGACTTGTCAAATTCCAAGCAATATATAGGCCCACCAGGTACCATGAAATACACATTCTGTACTATAACCAAAAATTAAAAATAAAATGCATATTTTACAAAAACTATGGACTGTAATTGTATTATTAATTAAAAATACACACACTTCCCATCTATGGATTTGTTTTATCATGTGATCCGGTACTGGCCCTTATTGTAACACAATATTTTCTACCTTGGAGAGAGAAAGCATTTATTTATTTATTTATTTATTTATTTATTTTTTATATTTTAGTAACAGTCTACAGGGTCTCACTATGTGGATCGAATTTGTAGTGATCCGCCTGTGTTCAGCCTCCCAAGAGCTGGGATTACAGGCGTGTGCCACCACACTCAGTCCCAATTGCCATCTCAGCATGCCCTGGGGTTGGGACTGGCACGAGAAAGTATTTAGTATAAGATTTTTTTTCTCAGAAGAGTTAACAGATGCTTTTCTAAATATAGTCCATAAAATTAAAGTTACTTTGAAAGATAAAGTTCTGAAAGATACTAGCACCATAACTTCCACTCAAATAGTATCTGCTTTGTTACGCTTTGTTAGACCTTTGCCACTCAGAACTTTATTTGAACATATACTATTAAGGTACTAATAATAAGGTCATAGACTCATTAAATCCTTAGTTTCTTATCATTTTAATCAATTGAGACTTCTAGTAAGTTCCTTTATATAAATTCTTTATATAAATCCTATGAGGATTACTTATAACTCTTTTCTGACACTTTAGTTACTCTTGGCAGTAAATTACTGTGAAATTCTGTTTTCCAAGATAGGTATCAATATACTGTGCTATATAGCATAATATTTTAATAATTTTTAAAAAAATTGGCCAGTACTGTATAAAAAGAAAATCAGCCATATGGAAATCATAGCATTGTGTCATTTTGGTCAACTTTCATGTTAGATTTGCAAAATTGAAATACAATTATGAATAACAAAATAAACACATGAACTGTACAAGTGTGTGTCACAATATGGTTTTGACACAATGGAAACAATTACTAATAAGGTGTTTTATGCTTTGGAAGAGAGCTTTGTTCTCACAGTGGATTTTCAATTTTGCCATTTTAAAAAGTGGCTACATTGGATGAGATAGTTGTGGAAAAAATGTACCAATCTTTATGCTTAGAAGACATACATTGTCAAAGTTCCTCTTGCAAAAACACAGTGGAACTAAATTACAAAGTATCTCATTCAGAGGTAGAGCAGTAAAAGATTTGCTTCACTTAGTTTATCATTTCCACTGGTCGATTAAGAAATGTATATTCCTTTTAACCCCAACATTGCTCATTACTTCTGTCTTTGTTGACTCTGCCTGAGATCTATATTTTTTTTCCTTGAAATTTTGGGCCAAATTATTCATGTGTTCTGGTTTTCAGTTCAGGACAATAGCATAATCTCTTAGGAGTAATCTCCATTCTGTTTTCATATTCCTTCCTTCCAGAGTCTGTAGCACTGTGTTATATATATAGTGAGGTTGTAATATGGACTGACTAAAAAAAGATTTGAAGATCTACATTGTAATAAATTGATAAGAAAATTAAATAATATAGGAATGTTTTAAGACAGTTATAATCATAATTTTATGCTTTTATGTTTTTACAGGAAGATTCTTTGGCAACAGATGGTTTCCTCGTGGACTATTTTAATGAATTCCTAAGCCTTCCAGTGAGTGTTCTAGTATGCTATGTTGACTATATCATCAAAGGAAAATATTTTAATCACTAAATTATTTTGTGGGACAAATTTATCCAGAGTAACATTTTCTTGAAAGATTGAGGTATTTTGGTAAAGTTCATATCTTTTTTATAGAGTTAATTATTTGGGTTTGAACCGTAATTAGAAGTTATTCTTACAGAAGAAAGTTAGAGCTGTGCTGGGCATCAGAAAACATTCCTTGGAGAATCCAACACAGTTGTATTTGGCACCATATTAGGCTTTGATCAGAAATGATAAGGACAGAATAAAACTCAAGGACATGATTTAACCATAGGCAATTATTTTCACTCTCATCAACAGATACTAAAATGCAAATTTTCTTTCTTTCTTTTTCTTTCCTTTTTTTTCTTTTTGCGGTACCAGGGATCAAACGCAGGACCTTGTGCTTGCCAGGCAAGCACTTATTCCACTGAGCTATCTCCCTAGCCCCTAAAATGCAATTTTTCTTTCTTTTTGTTTTGTTTTGAGACAGGGTCTCATATTGTTTGGGCTGACCTTGAACTCACTATGTAGCCCAGGCTGGCCACAAACTCATGGCCACCTTCCTCAGCCTATGAAATACTAGGCTTACAGGTGTGCACCTACCAAGCCAGCTTGTTAAAATGCAATTTGCATTTAAGGCAGCTACAATTTTATATTAGTAGTAAGACTCAGGACATTGTTGTTGGTATAAGAGAAGTGGATACCAGTTAATCGAGTTCTAGTCTCAGACAGTAATGACTGATAGAATTAAATGTTAAAGGACTTGGGAAACATGAAATGAGGGTTCAAAAAAGGACCATACTGTCATGTAGAAATAAAATTTATCAGGAATGTCCATTAAAATGAAGAAGATAGTAAATAATTTTCATTGTGTATTATAGAAAAATGAACTTTTTTCAATAAAATTTTTATCTAGGAAAATTAAAATATGAAGTCTCAAATCATTTTTGAAAAAGTGGACCACAAAATGTTAAATCCCTTAAAGCCTAATAATTGGTAATGTCTTCTGCCTAGATTAGTTCTTATAGACAGATATGTGCTTATACATCTGTTGTTTTGTGATTCTTTTTCCCTTCCAAAGGAAATTCTTTATCTCTCCTGTATTGGCATAACTAGGTCTCCGGAACCAGTGTGGCACATTGAAACAGCAAGTCACATTTGTTTCTTTCAGGAGCAGATCTGAATTACGTACAGGACACTTAGTAGTTCTTGTTTGGTCTGATTCCTTCATCATCACTTGTATATTATAAGAAACCTAGAAGCACCACAAAATTGCTCTTCTAGACTGTGTAATCTTTCCTCTGCTTCTATAATTTCTCTTCATCTTCCCAAAAGAGTTCATTTAAAAACTTTTTATTTAAAAAAAATAAAAAAAAATAAAATAAAAACTTTTTATTTGTCCATATTTATAGTACATAATGATCACCTTCATCATGAAGAGTTGATTCACGTACATAGCACATCTTAATTCTTTTTACCTCCCCCTCCCCTGTCCTCCCTCCTATCCGCTCCATCTCTTGGTCCTCTTGCTGTTGCTAAAAATACATAGGACTATGATTTTATAAAAAGCAAACTGACTGTGTAAATCTAACTTCAGTTTCTCAACATTTAAATTTTAAGGTCTCAAGATTTGAGATCATGTTGACTTTTCTTGCACCAGAAATTAAATAAATTTCCCTAATTTTCATTTCTGTAAAAATCTATTTTAGATTATATACATAATGCAATAATGTAGAAAATTTACCAAAAAGTGAGAAAAATTAAACCACAATCTTGCTATCTAGTCAAAATAGACATTACTATTTTGTATGTTTTTCAACAGACTGTGGTTTCTGTTGGTTGTAGGTTTTTTTTTTTTTTTTTTTTTTTTTTTTTTTGTTTTGAACTCAGGCCCTCCAGCTTGTCTTTTTTTTTTTTTTTTTTTTTTTCAGAACCGGGGATTGAACTCAGGCCCCTGCGTTTGCCAGGCAAGTGCTTATTCCACTGAGCCATCCCCCTGGCCCTGGACTTGAATTTTAGAGAAATAAATTTAATGTATTATGGTTTCATTCAGTGTTAGAAAATAATAATTTGAATCATGTTACTTCCTATTCTGTTTAAAACCTTATTTAATGGCTTCTTTTTACGCTAAGAATAAAATCTTGCGCTCTATTTCCTGTCCTTTTTTTAACCTAATTTTTCAACTTAAATAGACTTTTTCATGTTTCTCATATATAAATATACCAGAATTCAGTGTTTCAGGCTGGAGCACTCTTCCATGTGATGTTCCTATGACTTTCTCCTTGCTTAAATCACTTCTTAGAAAATGTTCCCACTAACCCTGTCTAAAATGATATCCCCCTTCACTGAAGACTCCATCATATATGTGAAATTAGTTTTGGAATATTTGAGTTGATTCACTAAATATAGTCAGTAAAGGTTGATTCTTATAGTCTACAGACTGCACTTTGCATTCATTGTATGGGACTTAAGACCCTTGCCAATCTGGCCTTAATCTTTTTTGCTTTATCTCTAGCTTCGTATTCTTGTGCTACTGTGTACACTCTTCTGCTGTCCTAAGCCACCAGCCTACTGTGACCACACGTACTCTTCTCATGCTCAGTGCTCACTAGGTGACACTTAGAAACAGGAGCGAGGCAACACTGTCTGATCCTGGCCTCTGCTCATTGCTCGTGTGATCTTACATCACTTACTTCATTCCTTGATTTATTTCCCTGTGAAAAGAAAATAACTGCTTTACAAGACTGCTATGAAATGATGTAATATATATTAAAATTAGTGTTTCTCATTCCTTTTCCTTCATTAACTAGACCATCTCCTCTTTCATTTCCAAAACACAACATGGAATCACTATTTGGATTGGTGGCTCACTGTCAATCTAGAGGATAATCTCTTATGCCACACAAATCAGTAACTTTGCCTTTAAAATTTTATTTTTATTAGAGATGTGCTTGAAAAGTTGCAAGAGAACCAATGTTTTTCCAGTTTGAGGTCACTCAGCTAGTAAATGACAGGTCCATCCAGGGTTACATGGCTCCAAGACTCAGGACTTAGTGTTTGCCAGGTAGGCACTTATGCCTCTGACCTATATACCTGGCCCTCAAAAAGTTTTGATTGTTCCACTACCCTATGATGTTCACAGAACTGGCAACAGAGGATTAAAACTGATCATTGGGATCATAGACTTTTGTCTCATTTTTATCCTGATGTGTAGTGTGAAATGAACCAGAATAAACAAAGCTAATGTACTTTTATGGTTCTTCAATAGAAGTACAAGATAAAAAAAAATGTTAGTCTGGTGCTGCAGTCAGTAAATGTTGCCTTAAAATTGAGTGGAATTGTCAGACCATACTTGAAATATTGTATTCCATTCTTGGTCCCATATGTTGAGTTGCTTCACCAAGTCAGACCCAGGGAAATGCTGTAGGAACTATATCAGATAAAGGGGGATTGAAAGAAGGGTGATGTTTAACTTGGCATGGCATGAGGTGATATAGGTGGAATGGAGTAATATTTTCAAATATTTAAGAATCTGATTGAGTAAGATGGATTAACATTCTGTGAAACTAAACAGCAGAACCAAGGCCACATTTATGAGGGAATCGATCAAGTGTGTTTTTTTTTTTTTTTTTAACAATAAGATCTATTGGTTTGTGAAAGTAAATTCCATGTGATTAAAGGTATTTAGAAAGAAGTTAGGATATCATTCTGTAGGAATGTTGTATAAGGGAAATATCTAGGAAGGGAAGGAAGAAGAAAGGGAAGGAGGGAGGGAGGAAGGAAGGAAGAAGTTAGGAAATCATCTATTGAATACTATATAGGGAAATACTTACTACCTACCTACCTGGTGTGGAATATTGAACTTACCCAACCAAATAAATTTTGATTATATCTTTATTTTATCTCAGAAGTTATACTGTAAATTTCTTGGGGGCAAAAAAGCCTCCTCTTGCTGTATCTCCCAAAGCTTCTTGAAGATGATTCTGTTTTTATTTGTACATCTTCCACGTAAAATCCTTAAAAATAGCCAGGTGTTAGGGGAAAGAAGCTATAATCTTAGCACTATGGGAGACTGAGGCAGGAGAATCACAAGTTCCAACCCTACCTGGACAACTTGTTACTTAGTGAGATCCAGTCTTAAAAAGGGCTATAGATGTAGCTCACTGCAGAAAGACCCTGTGTTCAATCCCCAGCACTGAAAACAACAGCAACTAATAATAATAATCCCTCTAAGCCTTTCTCCTGCCTCCCCTCCTTACCTGAGCCCTACCTCCCACCAAAAACAACCACAATCTAAGCCCAATGGTAAAGATACAGATTAAAGGACCTTTAGGTCATCTATATTTTTGAGATTTCTGAGACTTTTTTCACATCTTCAGTGACATATTCAAGGTCCCATAAGTGGATTGTGGCAAAAATGGGCCTAGGACTTAGGCTTTCTGGCACCTACAGTGTTTTTTTCCATTACAGCATCACACCCTTGGGACACATTGTAAGATCCAGAAATTGATGGCTGGTAGCCTGCCTCCATGTTATTTTTTGATGAGGGGAATCCAGGACAGTTGCCACTGTTATAAATGATTATGGCACTTTCCAAATCCTAGCTTTCATAACTTCATTCTGTTTGTTCTTGTGCCAAGTTCACATTCAGATATTGTTTTCATTTGGTGTCTGGGAGGTTTTTGTTGCTGTCAACCCTTTATGGACAAATGTTTGCTTATTAAGTTTTCTTCTGTGCTATAGTGTGAAAACATTTTTCCTTTTGGTTTTGTTTTGTGCATTTTATGCTCAGTGACTGTTGTGGGATTGAGTCGATGAGCCCACATAGATTTAGGTTGGTCCTCTGTGGGTGGTTTCGAATGTTTGTGACATTTATGGTTTGCAGAAGCTGAAGGGGTGGCCTGCTCTATACACTCCTTGCAAGGATAGGTATGTCATGTGTTTGCCAGACCAGGCTTAACTATGTGCTTTTGGAATTTTACCATAACTTCTTTTTTTGGACTGATTCTCCACACGTTTTTTAAAAATCTGTAAACTATTATAATTTCTTGCAGCTTTATGAAGGAGTTACATGCTAGATGGATTGTTGGGTAAGGGGGAGCTGGAGAGTGAAAGAGAGTGTAGATATTGGGGAAAGAGTAGGATGAAGGGGCAGAGAGGTTTGGATGCACAGTTGCAAGGATTTACATACTCGGACAAAGATTTCTAAAGGTGTCTTCAGAGCTCTAGGCAACTGCTTAGTCCAGTGTTTATACTTATGGGCGTTTTGTTAAACCTTATAACTGCAACATAAACACATTAGCAAATGTAACTCATTTTATTAACCAAGGATGTTTCCTATATATTTTGTAGCAAATTATTCCTTCCTTCTTATTGGTAAATGTCTAGTAAACAGTTTATAGTTAAACATTTAAAGTGACAATAAAACTTAGATGAAAAGTTCTTATTGGTAACTGACTTGTTATATCCAAGTACTCAGATGTTTTCTGTTCACTGACTGGGATGCATGTTTAAAATATAGTGTTGGAGCTCAATTAGTGGAGACAGAGTTGGAGCAGAGATGAACATGTATTAAATTAACCTAGTCATTAGTTTTTAATTTAAATACTGTTCAGCTAAATAATTTGGCACCCGGTAAGTTTCAGTGGTGCTGGGCTGGCAGTTTAAGCACATCACTAATTATTCACAGGTTTTTTTTCCCCTTCTTTTCAAAGAAATGTGGAACCAGCAATTTATTGTGGTAAAAATATTTTCATGCACTTGCTTTTTCTGTGAAAATATTTTTCGCACATGGATGACTAGTACTACAAAGTTAGCTTTCACCACCTTCAGGTCAATTCATTTTAGAACATTTGGAAAATGATACCCTTGAAAAAAGAAAATTAAGTAAAGAAAGGAGCAGTTTGTAACAGCTTGGAGAGAATTTGGTATGAGCCTCATACTGAAGATTTTTTCCTGTCATATGATTAAAAGCTGAGTGTTGTCTAAATCAGCCTACTCAGCTTCTGGGGCAGAATACTTCTTCCTGTATCATTCATTTCTATCTCCCCTATCCTGCATGGTATTTATATACGTACTAAACTATAAGTATTTTATAGTTAAATTTGGAAGTGGTAAATACAAAGGACATGATGTGTGAGAGAGATGCTTTTTAAACAAGCAGCAAGCAGTGGGGTGATACCAAAAGTGGAAGGTTCTTCCTTCTGTGTATAGAACCTCGATGGGTGCAGAGAGTCAGCATGAGAGAATGAGCAGAACCTGGCTTTGGAGTTTGTCTTAACCAGGATTTTTCCTCTCTTCAACTAAAAACTTCAGTATAACCCCTCTTTCTAAAGCAGTGATACTTATTAAGCTTGAACATGCCGTAGAATTATCTGAAGGGCTTGCTAAGACTGAGAATCCTGAGTCCCATCCTTGGTTTCTCATTCTAGAAAGGGACCCAAGGCACTACATATAGGTTCCTAGTAGTTGATGCTGAGGCTGCTGGTTGGGGACCACACTCTAGAACCAGAGTCAAGAGCTATAGTATGTAGTAGCAGCACCCTGATGATGGTCCTGTGCCTTTCTCTCCAGGCTTATATCCTGTTCTCCCTTCTTCTATTAAACCAGCAATGCCATGCTGTCTGCAACTCACTAAGAGTGCCATATTATTTTGTGCTTGTGTATCTAGATGTATTTGCACTTTCTTTTGTAGAATTTCTCTTCTCTGAATGTCTATTCATTCTTCAAGACACAACTCCAGAATTCTACTTTCTCTACACTTTTTCCTTAATTTCCTAAAGATAGTTAAGTGGACACTTAGGTGCCACCACACTGCTTTTTAAATAATTCTAACATGCTTACACATTGAAGTAATGTTGGCAGTACATGTGCATTATTTACAGATTGAACTAGTCATGTTCCTTGGAGAGAGCAGGATGGTTTAAAGAGTGAAATTTTGTTTTATTGTTTGTTGTATATAGTAGTCTATCCTGCTGCTATCCAGGTAAGAGTGAAATGCAAGAGGAGGATCTGCCAGCTCATTAATGGGTTTCCTCCTTCCTCCCTTTCAATAGCATAGTCACAGACATTTTATCGTGAAGTCTCAGGACCTAAATGTTAAATATATAGTAAATATTTTGGTACAGCTTGAACGAAAGAAGCAATGACTCATTTCCATGTTGGAAGAAAACCAACTGTGATCAACTTCAGAACAATTGTCCTTTTAGGGTACTTTCAAAGATTTTAGGGGATACTTATTTTCCTGTTCAATTATGTGTACCCTGAGGCAGGAACCACATTTCACTTCTTTCTTTCTTTCTTTCTTTCTTTCTTTCTTTCTTTCTTTCTTTCTTTCTTTCTTTCTCTCTCTCTCTCTCTCTCT